AAGTGTTTAAACATTTCTTATGTCTATCTAAATTAATGGAAGCATGTTCTCTCCTACGCTAACCATTATGACCACTATTTTACAAGGAAGTTATTACATTTCAGGATATTTAACTTCTGTGCACTTTTGCACATGCGTCAGTAAAAAAAACAAAAAAAAAATTCACCCATTGCTCATGGATTAATACATAGAGCTTTTGGAAGTCGTCCCGCTAAGCTTAAACCATCTTTGGAGCAAATAATAAAATTTTCAGGCATTGGCCCTATGAGATCCAACTAATGAGAACAACTTAATAAATGTGGTAACTAAGGATATCACCATTGACCATCTAACTAATCGGAAGATATTATGAGATGAGGTAACTGATGAAATCATGAGAGATGTTGTAATTACTACTGAACAAATTTAAGGATTCAGTGATGAATATCTCAATTTAATTCTTATTTTAAAAAATTCAATTTAGTTATAAGTAATAATGTTGTTCAAAATGATAATCTTCTAGTTGATTTGACGAAAAAAGAGACTAGTGCAAATTCTTTGACTTTCTGATAATAATAAGGAAGTGTTGGTTATTCTTCCCTTTATAGAATTTATCATTGCTAATAGGCGAATTACTTCTTCAAAAACTTTGCTTCTGGCAAAATTATTATTTCTTAGCAATAATTGTATCAAATTTTTTAGATTCCAAATCTTTGAAGAAATGTTCAAGCTTTTGCATTCTAGCTGCTTTGATATCTTAGAACTCAATATCAAGTTGTTACTAAGTAGGAGAGAATAATGCAGAATAGGAAGACCCAAGAATTGATATATTTTAATATTATGGTATACTACTGGAATTATAATATATTTTTAGGGATATTAAGCTTATCTAGGAACTATTCAAATAATTTATTAGTCTAGTATTTTATTTCTTATTTAGTTGAAAGTTTTACCATGTAAGAACTCTAATCATACTAGGCTATGATGACATCTTATAAGTACATGGGTAGTTCTTTATTATTCCACAGGCTCCTTATGAATAAAATTATTGATTACTCTCATTGAATTAAGTGTCTAACAATCTCGTGTTGATTTTTGTCAATCCCTGTGAATTTGGATGGGGTGTGTCTTTCAGTTTCTTTAATTTCTCTCTCTCTCTCTCTAGCGCCTAATACATTGTGTTAAATCTTACACATACCAAAATAATCAATAATTATTGTACTTATGCATGGGCTAAACTTATGTTAGTCTTTTATTAACTAGTACGACTTTTGGTTGAGTATAGAAATTATAGTATCTATAAGAGCTTGAGCTAAGTTAAGAAAAAGCCTAGTATTGAAGCTTAAACAAAAACTAAAAATTTACAGTACATTTTCTTCTATTGGTTTACATACTTTTCTTTTTCTTCTATTCTTTTACTCTGATTTCTTCCAAGCCCTTGTTATTTGATATTCCTCCATCTAGTAAATGATGAAGGTAGGAATTTGCTGTATACTTTTGGTTCTATGAATATAAAGATTCTGCATTTAAAGGAAGTGTGAAATACAAATGTCCATAAAATATAAAGGTTTGTATAAAGTACATATAAAAATAGGAATAGATTGACTGTTTATTTCCTTTCTTTGATGTCAGTAAGAAGAATTTGGCATCACCTGACAACAGGTGAGCTGATTTTCTAGGTCCCTACCAATCCCATCCCCTTTTCCATTTCCCAAGGATTTTAATTTGGAACCTATGTAAAATGTTGAAATCATTACCATTTCAAAAAGGTGCCTACTTTATACATCATGTATTCTTATTAATCCCTTACTCCGAGTCGGCGGGGACATCATATGAGTACAAGGTGGACTTTCTCACATAACAACAAGAATACAATCCCTAAGATTCTAAACAAAATTTTAAATCATAGCACACAGTCATAAACAATAATAATACCAGTTTAAAGTATGGAATAATAAGTATGCAATTAAAGAGACTATTTATGAATACCTCATTCACTAGTTACCTAGATTGTAAATCATCCCCTCCCCCCAAAAGGATGCACCATGGTTCAGTGCCTATGGTACAGTTGGCCTGATTAAAGGTAATGAATGGCCCCATCAAATGCCTGAATGTTGTCAATTTATAGCTCGAAACCAAAATTCATGCGGGACAAAAATGGTATCTTTTCCACTTCCCCTTTTAACATGATTGTAAAGCACTCACATGGAGAGCGAAATTAAACCAAAAGGTAGGACTTAAGCAACCAAGCCAACAAAAGTTAGATCTGATCCAAGGAACAAAAGTATATAGGAAACAATGCACACGAATGAAAATAATTGACAGACACAAATTGATTGTATCTTTCAGGAATAAATTAGGCATAACTGACTTGTTCTCAAACGATAAATAATGAATAATCATAAATCACGTACCAAAGCTGAAACCATATGTGGCCATCAAGGCTTTATTGACAAGGATAATTCCAACAGATGTAACGACATTGAACATCCATGAGGCCACATCTAAAGTTACTTTTTTATCTGCTTTGCTTGCTGTAGACATTTTATATGTTTAGAATCCGATTTATAAGCAGAACCTTCACTGTTCAACACCCAATCTTCATGCAAACAAATTTAACGCTCGAATATCAGCAATAAACAATTGTATCTGCATCAGTAAATCATCTGTAAAAACTCCAAATTAGAATTAACTATCGGAAGCAATCCAATAAGGTAGAGAAAACACAGGCAAACCTCTTCAATATATCAGTTAACTCAAATATAGCATCATGTTCAGATTTCCAAAAACCAATAACTCAGAAAAAAACAGAAGAACATAAAATTAGCAATAGATCAATTCTGTAACAGAAAAAATGAGCAGCAAACCATAGCATTCAGAAGAAAGCAAGGAAGGGAACAAATCTGAAGAACGAAGAAGATGAATGCATAAATTCCTGTTGGAAATCATTATTGTAAGAAAAAAAAAAGGAAAAAACATAGTTAATTTCATTTTAAGTCTAAGGATGAGATGAGCTTTTGCATGATTATATAGCACCAAAAAGCAGGATCCATCCAGATCTCACAGGTTCATCCACAAGCAAATGTATAAATGATTTGAACGTCTTGAGCCACATTAAAACATTTTGCTAACTTGTTATAATAAGGATTTGCTATCAGCGACTGGTGAAGCCAGGATCAAATCATAAGTTAGATGGGTTTCTTTATGGTAGATAAAGCTCCATGGATTTTATTGTTGCTTGTCATCATTCAAATCGAAAAAATCCACTCCAAAGAAGTAGACGTTTTGTTTCATTTAATCATGCCTATCCCATAGGAAAAGTAGAGGAAAAATAGAATGTGAATTCTTCTCACCATTAGTCTTTCAACAATTTGATGAGATCTCAAGCTTTCTAGGTTCCCAGACTGCAAAATATCTGACAATACTAACAATAAGTATTTCACAGGCGTGATAAATTCACCGGAGTTGAATTTTCATTAAAACAAGCTTAAAACTCGGTACAAACAAAGATCCTTCAAGCAACAACTCTGAGCAACATTGATAAATCCATTAGATATAAAGATCATCTCCTACATACGCAGAGACATGAAATCAGTATAAGCAAGTTAGATAGAGTAAAGAAACATCCATATTGAACCTGTAGTTCCAGTTCAAATTCTACAGCACGACGGAAACCATTCAAATCCAGAAAAGCCCAATAAAAAATAACAAAATGATCCAGAAATTGAAGGAAAAATAAGCTGCCGCCAAACAGATCCATCGCTGCCTAAAACTCTAGAAGTATCAAGCAGGAAAAACACCAGAAAAATTCGAGCAAAAAACCAAAAAAGTAGCAAGTAAAAGA